TGAATTTGCCCAATGTGATGACATAAAAGAGTGAAGTCTGGATTTCCTCTAAATAATGAGGTCTCCAGCCAAACTGTATCACTGACTGTATCAACTGTGACAGTCTTAATCACGGCTGCACCCACAATGTGAAATCATTTTCAAGAGACAGCTGAGATCTTTTTGTATCATGTGGCATTTTTCAAGTGTGAATATATTAGAAGCAGCAGGTACATGTGCATTAAAATGAATTGTTGTGTTTTTATCTTTACATATAGGTGAACATTTTGGTGTGTTTTTTATTTGTAGTGCTGCAAGGTACCTCTTGAAGAGAAACCTCTGTGTCAGTACGTCCTTCTTGCTAGAGTAAAAAAAAAAAAATGAATGAAGAAAATTTTCATTTTTGATCAATTTTAAACAGGGATGCAAAAAAAAAAACACTCTGTGGCCACCTGTGGGAGGTCCATTTTCACGGAGTTAAAGAGACACATGAGATCTCATGCAATGAGCCCCTTGCTGTGTATGTGGGCATTTAACTCTCTGGAACCTCGCATAAACAAACACGCACACTGCTGTGTCAGGCCACTCTAATTTCCCTTAACAGCCATACCACCTTCCCAGTTCCTGATATATTCACGCTCATGCACACGTTATCAACGCGCGCGCAGACACACACACACACGGTGTCCAGTGGCCACTGCCTCATTCACTTAACACTCATTTAAAAAAAAAACCTGTGTGATAAATAGCTCCCCCCGCCATGATGTGTTATTTTTGTCTGCTTCAGAAGTTTTCCTCAAGGTAGGCAAATTTAATAATGCAGACATTATGTAAATGACCTAATTTAAACAGAAAATGCATTGTGGGGAAGCAGACGCCTCCACGCATGCTATCTTGTTTGTAGCATTTATAAACATTCATTCAGCCTGCCTCCACAGTTTATCACAGCGTAGAGAAAATGAAAAAAAAAGAAGAATAAAAGCCCCACAATTACGTAGGTTATTATGCCCTTTATGATGCGTAAACACAAACAGACACGCACCTGATGTCAAGGCAACGGATTACATAGGGGATTTATAGCACAGTACTCAGCGCTGAACCAACCGTAGCTAAGGGACAATATGCAAATAAAGATCAGAGCACAGAGTATAGGACTAACATTACTGTTAGTCTAAACATCACAGTGTTCCTCTTGAAGGTTAGATAAACCACACCGTTCCCTGAAAAACAGGAAAATAACGCCTTAAAAGTATCAGCATAAAAGAACAACGCCACCAGCGTGTGGTCTCCTTGAATTGGTAAACAAAGGAGCAGAGATCTATTGTGAATAAACTGCAATTTTTTTTGATTAACGGGGGGAGGAGAAAAATACCAGGTTTTGATTGTAGTCTAAGGAATCTGAAAAAAATGGAAGATTTCATGATTGATTTCCTCATAAAAACTTCTCATGACTTAAATCCAAGCGGCAACCTCCGGTGGTGAAAACTGAAAATGAAGTGCAAAAAACTGCAGTTCCTCTAGTGTCCACTTGAGGCTGGCTGCAAAAAAAAAACAATGTCTCATTAACACCCTTGTTAATATGCACATTAAGACAGCAGAAATAAACATGTTTACAGCCTGGAATAGCATGGTTTTGGTCTGAATAGCTCATGACTTTGTTTTAACTCATCTCTTTTGATCTTTTGAAGGTTAGATGGAGTGTGTATGGAGCGTGGCTGATCTGACTGACAGGCAGCTGCTTTTTTAGGTGATTAGTAGGTTGCTAAAGGCCCATCTCAGCTCCATTTCTTTGCCTTTTGTTCGGCTAATCGAAAGCTACTTTGGGACAGCATTTCCAATATGGCGATCGTTGGACTTCAAAACTACGCTCTGGAAACCAATGGTTGATGTCACTGAGACTCCATGTTTTATAGAGTCTATGCTAAGATTATTTATTTAAGTATTTGTCTATTTGACATGGACGTACAGCAACATTGCAGCTGGAACCTTTAACCATGCACAAGTCCCAGAGGCACTGCTCTTAGTGTTTATAGCGAAATGCTGATTTGTTGCGAATACAACACCTGTCCATGGGTTCCTAAGATCGAGGAAGCAACCCAAGGAAGAGAGGTTCTCGCACCAGGCTCATCACTTACATTCTCCAAAATCTTGGTAGTAGGGCTTGTAGTCAATCGTCTTAGAATCTAAGATTTAACCCATGCTCTTACCCGATATTAATCATCCCAACCTGTGTGTAAAGATTAAACCCAGGTTATCCAGAAGGATAAGGTGAGGTTGTAAACCTATACCAATACAAGTCTCACTGAGGCTCATAGCCCAGGTCCAAATGGTTCATGTCTAAATGGTGCCGTTTGGCATCCAACTGGTCCTTACTCAATAATCTTAGTCTGGATCCAACTGGTTCCGTACTCTGATGGGAGGATATTAATTGAGGTTGACCTGCATGTATTCTAAGCACGGCTCTTGGCTTGTGTTAATATCATCTCAAACTCTCAAGTCTCTTCAATAAATGAGATTTGAAGTACAACGCACTTCACTCTCTTCATTCACTTTTTTTTGTACTTGTAACAAGTCCCTCAAACTACACTTTGTGTTACATTTCATAGGCTGACACAGACAGTAGAAGCATTTTCAGGTTTGGTCTCATAATCTGTCGGTGTATTCTAAAACCTTTACAAACCGTCTGTTGAATACATCTGATGAACAGAGGGACAGAGCCATGGCTGAGGTTGGCTGAGTTTTGGAGACAATAATACAGGTTTGGATTTGTAGAAGAATTGTGGTTTTGTTACGGTATCGGGACCTTTATTTTCATGTGTACAACAAAATATGTCTTTGAAGAATAGACTGTATAGAACATGGACGTAGTCTCAATGACATTTCCAATGGTTTCTGAACAACCCGTGGTCGCCATATTGGAAATGCCGACTCAAACTAACCTGCGATCAATCCAGTAACAAGCAAAGTGGTGGTGATGAGGTAGGCCTTAACCCTCCAGATACAACTTGTCCACTTGTCAATCAACTCAGCCACGCCCCCTTTTTTATGCAAATTCATGATAACTCGAAGTCTGAATCAATCAGAACAGATGACTACCTTATAATTCCAAATTCAATTTATTGACCCGGCTGAACTCATGTTTATTCCTGCTGTGAAAATATGCAGGCCTAATGGGAATTCATTTGCTTTTTGAGCCAGCCTCAAGTGGACACTTAAGGAACTGCAAGTTTCCACACTTCAACATTGGCTTAATTTTTTCAGCACCGGAGGGTCGTTCAATGTGAGGGAATGCTTAAAAGAATCATAGACTGTCAGAAGGAAAACGACAAACAGGAGTCTCCTGACGCTTTGTTGACCCATTTCTCCACCCTGACCTCCTTCCTGCACAGAATCTGCTATTGTATGATTATGTAACCTGACTTCCTTCTTTGTCTCTGTCGTAATAATAAATGCTTGCGGTAGCTTTTGACACTTGAACGTGTTGTTGAGGACAATCTCATCTTTGATCACAAGGTTGATCTCTGCTCAGACTAGTTCAGACCAGAAGGCCATTAAATATTTTAACAACATAATTACACAGATTTTTAAAAAGTCTAAATCCAGGTTTTTCTAGGACTGTATGCAAGATCAATCAGACATGCAACTTTTCAAATTCTTATTGAAATGGCACCTGGATTGACCAGTTCTGATTCAATCTAAACGATAACAGGCCTCTTCAGCTGTGTCATGCATCTTACTTACACATGTTGATCAATTTCAACTGCCACAAAGTTGTGTTTTATGAAGTGTGGTGATCAGCGGGTGGGGCGGTTATTTGTGCTCAATCACTGCTTGTGTACACCACCGTGTACGACTGCTCGGCTTCTGTGCACATGGGATGGGACACTGTAATGAGGCTTAGTGCACACTTGAAGCCGGGGTCCTCTACTGCTGCACATGGGGGCCATGGCTTTAAAAAAAGGTATTTACTTCAGTAATGTCTTCAACCCTCTTGTCTTTCACGTCCATAGACAGTGTGGATAAGATGTTGGACTACTGTTTTCTTCTCTGTAGATCCAGTGATTGATGTGTCTGCTTCTTCTTCTGCCTCTGGTTTTAAATGGCCGTTAGCATTACCGCCAGCTGGAGTCGGGTTTGAATACAGTATGTCAGTGGTGGTCTAGATTTAAAAATCCTCAGTCCTCACACTCTGAGGCCGAGACTGAGACATTCTCAAGAGTGGTCTTGACACAAAGGCTGATTTCAAGTATACACCACTAGTGAATACTGCCATGTATGATTTGTCTTCTTTCACCACTCACACGTATTCATCATATGACTGCACGCACTGAACCACGACTGATCGGGAAAAAAATACAAATACTGTTACCAGCTTAATGTTTGTTCATTTCCAAAAAAATAATGAATTCACACTTGATGTATTTTGTTGTAAATTTTATCATCATTTCTTGTCTTTCTTTCTTTTTCACCTCACTGATATTGAGACATCGATGCTTTATTGTGTGCACTGATATGTATTGAAAGAAAGTATACACGTGTAATAGGAGAAACAGTTTGTTGTTTCTGCATAAGTGAGCTTTTCTTCTCTTTGATTTTTTCCTTTCGTGTGTGTTTTGCCAAGTAAAGCAGGTTCTTTGGGACATTAAGCATTATCATCCATGCAGAGAAGGAAATCAAGTTAAGCATACACACGGCCATGTTTGTGACAGCGGGGGAGCTGACACCGGGAAGGGGGCCGAAAAAAGTCGATTAAATCCTTGAAAGCATAAAAATAAGGAGTCTCTGCGGCGTGCAGGTAGCACGCTCGTTGTAATGCACGGTCACCCTCCTGTGATTTGTGGCACAGCGGTAACACTCGGCTCCAGCTTCTCCAATGTACTGTGAAGTAATGAAGACTCTCTATGGAAAGCGTCTCTGTCACGTCAGCCTGTCAGACAGCTCCCAGGTGAAAAAAGTACCCGTTTCTCTAGACAGAGCACTACATCTAAACTTTCCCGGTCTGTTGTTTTGTGTGCTTACAGCATGTCCACGTCCACGTGCTGCCCAGGAAGGCCGGGGACTTTGAGAGGAATGACAGCGTCTATGATGAGGTAAGGATGGCTGACTGATCTGCCTTTATCGTGCAATGTGAAGCTAAGGCATGAAACCTGCAAAACTGTCATTGTTCACAACAGATTTCTACACAACATGAGGATGCATCGTGGTCGGTTATCGTCTCATGCTTAGCAGCTTTGCCAGCTGCACAAAGTCATCTCAATGACTTCATCATAAATGTATTAAATAGACTGGACCAAACAGGTATAATAAATGACTTTCAATCCAAAAACAATTTGCACCAGTCTCTCCGATGAAAAAAAAAAAACTCCCTTCAGTGCACCCCCTCCCATCCTGCCCCCGCCCCCCTTAGTGTTCCAACTGAGAGCAGCCATTTGTTGGACTGATCTCCACTCTGCTGTGCAGCTCAAAGTTGATTCAGTTCTTATTTCTTAGAAGGATTTTTATACCAAACAAAGTATTTTCTCCTCAATTCCCGAAAGTCTCTTGCAATCACACTCGGCCATTAAGACTGAACAGACCGCGTCCCCGAGAGAGCGGGGGCCGGATTTGCAAAATTGTGCTGTGGCTTTTTTGCATCGGTTGTGGTTCCTTGCAATGGTGTTGGGCTTTTTGCATTCTTGTCGTGACTTTTTTGGCTAGCATTCATCTTTAACCTCGCAGCCACCTTAGAGAGGGAGGGGGGAAAAAACAAATATAAAACATGTTTGAGCCTCTCAGAGACATAGAGCTGAGGGAGTGTGAACACAGAGCTGAGAACAGCAAACCCCACAGGAGTTTGAATTCAAAAGTCATCACTCAACACGATATTTCGTTAGGACATTTATGTCATATCTTCTGTATTGAAGTCTTTATATGTGATTTTTCACACTTAAATATAATATAAATCAAGTATATCCTCTGAAAATAACTCTGTGAGTCATGACTGTCTACAATGGGTGTAACACCCGAGTCCCACTGTCTGTGATGTTTTCAGAGTTTTCAGAGTCCTATCTTCACTTTGTTTACATCGCCCGGACGGCCGGCTGACTCCTCCCCTCGAGTATAAAAGTAGTTTAATTGAGGGACTAGAGAAAAGAAGAATAACATACTGTACTCACTGCTTAACTGTGTTTCTAGATCACGCTCATTTCAGGTAAATTTACATGCAGTGTGAAGATACCAGCATAATAAAGATCGCTAGCATTAGCATGCTAACACAACAATGCACAGCAAGTTGTTTTGGTTTCATGCTGGTGCTCAAGGGCGACATCTGCTGGATCAAAAAAATCACATATAAAGCCTTTAATGTTTTAAGTGTTGTTGCCTTTGGAGGATGATGTGTTTATATGCTTGTGGTCACATAACAGCTCAGGTGAGGTCAGAAGAGCAGCGATTATTAGTGTAAAACGATCAGAAGCTAAATATATGTTGGACTGAGCATGAGCCGCTTGAACATAAACCCCCGTGCTTGTTTATTTCGAAGCTAATGGGGGATCTTTGCTCTTTTCCCTGGCTGATGACACTCTTTGCGGTTGCCTAGTTTGTAACAGCCCCCTCCCCCCCTCCAGGCATTGATAGATTTAAAAAAATTAGCAGTGGAAGAACGTTTTCTTGTTCTGCATAACTGGCATTGTTCTTGGGGAGGCAGACTTGTGTGTGTGTGTGTGTGTGTGTGTGTGTGTGTGAGAGTGTGTTATTGCAGGAATTTGAAAACACAATTCACTGCTAATGAACTGATTCACCTGTGGCTCCTAATAACTTTAATTAAACATCTGAGAGATGAGTTGGAACAAATATCAGAGGGCTCTACGGCCCCCAGGAGACAGAATCTCCAAACCAATGAACCACAACACTTCAATAAGAAAATAATGAACATGCCTTTCAGGCTGTTTTAAATTTCACTGTGACATTTTGAATTTGTAACAAGAGAGTCTGTAGCAAATGAATATCAATAACTGGTGAGTGTTTGATATGAATATTCTAATAACCCACGTCTAATAAAAAGAACTCCAGTACACTTCCTCATCGTGCCCGAGGGGAGAAGTGAAACGTGCGGCTCCACCGCGGAGTCCCAGAAGCGAAAATATAAATAGGTTTGTTTTTAATTTGCATGCGATCATAAGGGTTATTGTGAGAGCAGTGGCACCCACCGCCATTTATATTTTCCATGTCACACCCGGAAAATGAGAGGATTTTTCTTGGAGGTGTTTTTCTTGGCGCTGAATAATCACCAGTGTTTGCTCCCTCATACCTTACCTCTGTTAAGTGTTTTATGAAGCAGAGTTAACACATTTATTCCTTCATAACGACGGTTTAAGAGGCAATAGAAACAGGTGGAGAGCTTTTCTCTCAACATTGTAAAAAAAAAAAAAAAGGGAGGAAACACAGACAGCTGCTAAGAGTCTCTTTTAAAACGCCTCAGTGTTTAGGCTGCACTAATGGATACAATTACAGGAAGATGATGATGATGATGATGATGATGATGGTGGTGGTGCAAAGGACAGACTAATCTTTAAGAGGACTCTTATATCATATACTATAAAATGAGTAAATAAATGAATGGAAAAACCTTTTGAATGCAGATGCAGTAAAGAAGGAAGAATGAATGTTTTCTTCATGTGTAAATGATTTTAACAACACATTCCTGTCTTGGTGTGACAATCGCCAATGTTCTGCAAGTTGTAAAACAAAGACGTCGTTGAGATCAACTTCCACGTCAAGAGAGGTATTTTCCAAATCAGTTAAGGCCCTGTGTCCACCTAGCGTTTTTTTCCCAGGCAGAAAAGCGCTGGCTGTGCGCTCTGGGGGAGGTTGCATGAAGCGTTTGTGCTCTGAGAAGAAAAGCGCTGCACGTCCGTCTTCATGGGCGGTTCTAGGCAGGGGCCAACAGGGACCAGTGCCCCTGTAACTCTGAGCTTGGTCCCCCCTGTGGCCACCCCTCCAAAAGGAAGAGCCACCCCCTCATAACACATACACAGTATTTGACTCAACAATTGGACTCACAATCTAGTATTAAATACTGTTACTGAAACAAATATAAATCATGGTATTTGATGACGTGCGTTATTATTTGACATAATATATGTATATTTTTTAAAGCGATCATCTTTGTCTATTTTTGATCTGGGTTTAATGTTCCCCTCTGACAAAACAACTGGCCCCAGTTTGGCCCCCTCGTTAAAAATGGTCTAGAACCGCCACTGTCCGTCCTGTCTCTATGACAACTGTGTGTTGACAACACTTTTTCTTCAGGCGGGCGCTTTCTGCTGCGAATGCTCTCTGCTTATTGAAAAACAACTGAAGAGACACTGCTGCTCCAAAAAAAAAAACACTAGGTGGACACGGGGTCTTAGTCTATGTACAAAATGAATATAATAAAATGCCACTGTAAGTTACAATGTGTGCATTTCCCAATATACTGTATATGTCTTCATAGACTTGGCCTGTGAATGTGTGTGAATGTGTGTAAATGAGGTGTGTAGTATAAAGCCAATACCACAGGATCCCTGTGCACTAGTTTCTGTCTGTAAAGTGCAGGAATAAAGAGAACAGCATGCAAACAACAGGTCACTTTTGCTGGTTTTTTGTGCCTGTTTTGACATGATGACATAATGACCCAGAGTAGGTAAAAGGTGCCATGGCTGTAAATTATACCTCAAATGGTTCCAGTGGAGTTTGTTATTTATTGACTTTATTGTGTTTTGTATGAATTGACCGAGTGGCTAACGAGTTTCCCCGCTGAGGATGTATCGCAGTTTTCTAATCTAATCTAAAAATCCAAACTGGTTCCGTTGATTCTTTTCATGCTAATTTTCAGAGGGTCACTTATGATAAGCGGACATCACCACAGTGAATATAAGTCACAGCTCCATGAATTCAAATCCACTTGTTCCAACACTACTTGAATAAAAGTCAATAACAAAATGAGCTTCAGAAATGAGCTCCTTGCAGTATGACTGGTAAAAAAAGCTATTTATTACTTCCGCCCCCCTCTGCCAGGCGAGGAAGTCCACCGCTTTATCAGATGCAGATAGTGCATGACAGGGAAGCCACAGTGAGCGGGCTGTTTATCGCCGTAAAGAGAAGGGATAGGACTCGGGAGTGCAGTTCTATTGTCATTTTATTTAGATGAAGTGAAGCGCGGGAGGCCTCGGCTGCTCACTGGATCTCGTGGGCTGACAGCAGCTCTGTGATAGAGAGCGGAGTCAGCAGCAGCTAAACACTGTTGAAGCTATCTTTTTCAGTGTTTTCGCTGCGTCTCCCCGTCTCTTCCTCTGTCTCCCTCTGTCTCTCTGTTGGTATCTCATGTCTCTCTCTGATATACCACATGACACATTCCATTTTCTTTTACAGTGTCACCTTGCCCAAAAGGAGCTGTCACAGTGCATCATACTCGCTTTGAAAGCCTTATTTGTGTCTTTCTTTTGTTCCCAGGATGTCTCACTCTTCCCCCTATGCTTTATTAATTTGGGTCCTTTGAAACCAAAGAAAAAGAGGAGATGTTAGGTGACCTATTTCAGTCTGTCTGTGTTCTGATTATACTTCACTTTACATTTTTCAGAGGAAACATGAGCCTTTTTAAAATCCATTAATCTGACGTTCATGGCTGCAGAGGTTCACTCTCTAGTGTGCAGCATGCAGTGTAGACTAATTACAAAAAAGTATGTACAAATAAGTATAAGTTTAGGCTAAAAGTAATGCCAGACACAGCAACATGCTGCGGTGGAGTAGAACATTTGTAGTAATGATTTTTGTTTTCCATTGCGTGCAGTTTTTTCTCCAGTAGGTGGCACTAGAGGAAAGGTCATGGGGTCACTATAGTGAAGAAATAAATGGTTAATGTTTTCATCGGTATGAAATTATCCAAAATGCATTGCAAGATGTTTTGCTGCCAATACACCCTTTTGGAAACATTTGGACAGGTTGAGGTTGGGATCTTACCCGGCATGTGATGATGGTGCAAAGCACAGGATTGAGAACCTGCTAAGTTTTGGATGGATCCTTAAAACTTATCTTCGTTTAAAGATTGGTGACAAATTCAAGTGAAACGCTT